AGAGGGGAGAAGGGGGACAGGGGAACACCCCTCAAAGAAGGGGGTGCGACGGTCGCCGCGAGAAGCCCCAACAGCTAAGATACTCTTCTCAGCTGCAGCAAGGCGCTCCTCTAGCAAGTCGACAGTCAGCTCGGTAGGGCAAAGGGAGAGAAAGTGATCCCTGACTGAGGAGAGAGAGTCAGGGAGGCGGGTGACTAGGTAGTAAAGGGTGATGTACATGGGGGGGGGAGTTCGTGGGAAGAAACTCAGTGGGAAGGGCAGCGCGGTAGCGAGCGTCACTAGTGCGGAGGTGAGCAACTAGGTCAGCAACTGTGGAAAAGGCGGCAAGGTCAGGAAAAAGGTACGGCAGCATGAGGCGGCTGAGGGCAGCAGTGGTAGGGGAGGAGTAGCGTGCAACTACAGCGTCGTACAGAGCCCTAGCACTCTTGTACTGACTAAAGTGCGCGCGCTCAGTAGACGGCAGGTGATTGCGCACAGCAAGACGAGCAGCAGCATCGTGCGTGAGCCACTGCGAGCGAACAGTACTGTCAGCATCAGCAGTAGGGGCAGTAGAGGCGCCAGACGTGAGATCGAACAGTGAGAGACCATCCTTGCTATCGCACTGTAGGAAAAGCTGCAGATCATCTAGCCAGACCTCAAAGTCAACAGCCCGACCCTCAGCATCAAAGGTAAGAACATTGAGACTAGCCATGACAGGAGAAGCAGCAGGCTAGCAGCAGCAGCAGTGAAACTCGGCTAAGCAGGCTAGGCAGGGCGGCGCAGCTCGGCAGGGCAGCGACGCTCGAGAGCGCGGCGCTCTTACCAGGGGAGAGGCTGGGGCAGTTCAGGAGCAGGGCCGGGGCAGGGCCGGGGCAGAGCCGGGCCAGGGCCGGGGCAGTTCATGGGCAGGGCCGGGGCAGGTCAGGAGCATTGCCGGGGCAGTTCAGGAGCAGGGCCGGGGCAGGGCCGGGGCAGTTCAGGAGCAGGGCCGGGGCAGAGCCGGGGCAGGGCCGGGGCAGGGCCGGGGCAGGGCAGGGGCAGGGCCGGGGCAGAGCCGGGCAGTTCAGGAGCAGGGCCGGGGCAGGGCCGGGGCAGTTCAGGGGCAGGGCCGAGGCAGTTCAGGAGCAGGGCCGGGGCAGGGCCGGGGCAGAGCCGGGGCAGAGCCGGGGCAGGGCCGGGGCAGGGCCGGGGCAGAGCCGGGCCAGGGCCGGGGCAGTTCAGGGGCAGGGCCGGGGCAGTTCAGGAGCAGGGCCGGGGCAGTGCAGAAGCAGGGCCGGGGCAGTTCAGGAGTAGGACCGGGGCAGGGCCGGGGCAGAGCTGCGACAGGGCCGCAGCAGGGCCGGCTGGGCCTGAAGGGGCCTCTAACGGGGCCTGACGGGCCTTACGGGGCCCTAAACGGGGCCTGACGGGCCTTACGGGGCCCTAAATGGGGCCAAATGGGGCCTGACGGGGCCGTACGGGGCCTCTAACGGGGCCTGACGGGGCCGTTCGGGGCCTCTAACGGGGCCTGACGGGGCCGTTCGGGGCCTCTAACGGGGCCTGACGGGCCTTACGGGGCCTCTAACGGGGCCTGACGGGCATTACGGGGCCCTAAACGGGGCCAAATGGGGCCTGACGGGGCCGTACGAGGCCTATAACGGGGCCTGATGGGGCCGTACGGGGCCTCTAACGGGGCCTGACGGGGCCGTACGGGGCCTCTAACGGGGCCTGAAGGAGCCTTACGGGGCTTCTAACGGGGCCTGACGGGCCTTACGGGGCCCTAAACGGGGCCAAATGGGGCCTGACGGGGCCGTACGGGGCCTCTAACGGGGCCTGAAGGAGCCTTACGGGGCTTCTAACGGGGCCTGACGGGCCTTACGGGGCCCTAAACGGGGTCAAATGGGGCCTGGCGGGCCGTACGGGGCCTATAACGGGGCCTTACGGGGCCTCTAACGGGGCCTGACGGGGCCTTACAGGGCCTTACGGGGCATAATGTGGTGGGCGCTGGCTCTGAGGGCAGGCGCAGGGGCCGCGACGGGCATCGAAGGGAAGGCGCGACGCGCGCGTCAAGTAGGCAGTAAGAAATTTCAGTGGTGGGCCCTTTTTAAAAATTCTCGAAACTAGCTCTATACCATGTGAGAAAGATAGACGAAAGAATGGATGAACTAGAAAATGAGATGGGTACAAATAGGAAACACATAAGTGTTGTACCCTCTAAGAGCTACCCCACTACAGCCTAAATAGACCATAGCAGATATAAGTTTGACAGTAGAGACCGCCTTTCCCGTTATATAACTTGTACTCCTGAGTGGTGCTATCTGCTTCGAGGTGTATGCCCTTCGCCATCAGTTGACTGACGCTCAGTAAGTTGTAACCGAGCCCTTCTGCTATTAAAACCTTCGACATCTGCAATATGACATTTGTTTCTCGTGACTGAAGTTGCACTACGCCTTGTCGTCGTGTGCGCAGATTCTGATTGTTGGCGACGGTGATGACGACCTCGCGTTGAAGTTGGTGTTCACGTTGAACAAAGCGTCCTGAAGAGCACATATGTTGTCCGCAGCAGCTGTCTAAGAACCACGTATCTTTCCCGGACGGCTCGCTTTGAGCGATGGCTGCATACGTCGGATTTGGTTGAAGTGACTCGCGGCGAGGCGTGCTGTTGTCGAGTTGCTCTTCCGGTGAGTAATGTGGTGGTGACTCTGTGATGCAGGAGTCGGTCAGCCGTGCCATGCAACTGACGATGTTTCTTTTTCCTTGCGCAGGTTGTCCCGTCGATGTTGTTGAGGTCGGATTCGCTTGCGTTGAGGCGACTTGACTGCTTGAAGGGCGAAGCGGCCGGTTTGGGCAGTGTGTACGGGGGTGACCTGACGTTTTGCAAAGGTGACAGAACGGAGGTACTGGTTTCGGTTGATGCCGATAGTTGTTGTTGTTGTAGTGCCGTTGAGTGTGGAATGCGAATTCGGGCACTGATGCCTTCTTCTTGTGTCGTTCTTCTTGCAGGTCCATATCTTGCTGCTCAGCGTGGATCTCGGCGCAGAGTGCTGCTTCTGATGTTTTTCCGTGGGCTCGGAGTATGGCGCGAGTGGAGCGCCACTGAGGACCGAGGCCGCCGATGATGACTGTGACGAAGGCGTCTTCTGAAATCGACCCTCCGCATCGAAGGAGTTTGTCGCGCAATTCGCGACAACGGCTGATATACGCCATCCCCTTTTCGCCCGGTTTCATTTCGACTGTTGTCAGTTGCGCCATGAACCGACTTTGATTGACGCTGTCTGTTGCTTGATACAGGTTCTTCAGGTGGTTGTACGCGAGCTCTGCAGAGTTGCCGTATCCCCGGTAAGACCGTATATTCTGCTGCTGATTCGGAGTGATGTTTCTCAGTAGTATAGTGTACGCCATCATTGACTGATACGTGTACTGCTGCTTATCGTACTGTGTGCCGTGTGTTGGATATGGCAGGGACCCGTCGAAGAAGCCAAGGATCTGAGCGCCTTCCATCATTAGCTCGAACTCGAATGACCAGGTAAAGAAGTCCTTTCCGTCGAAAGGCCTTGTCATTTGTAGTTTTAAGACGTGCGCGAACTGCGATTGAACTTGAAGTGCGTCCAGTGTCTTCTCTTGTCCAGGTGCAGGCTGCGGGTGTGGCATAAAGCTGACGGAGCCACGCTGGGGCTCGTACGGAGCAAAGGTAGGCTGTTGCTGTTGATTTCCGCGTGCGTAGGATGAACCGTCGAGGCTCATTGGTGTTGCGTTGTTGTTGTTACTGTTGTTTGACTGCGCAGGTGCCCCTTGCTGGTGTTGTTCGTAGAAGGACATGAAGGAGAAGAATTTCTCCATTATGTCTGGGTCGAAGGCCGCGGCTTGATTTGCAGGAGTTTCTGAAGACGTTGCTCTTGGTCTTGTTGCCGTACCCTCCTCTGTCTGTAGGCCAGAGGCAGGTGGTGGAGTAGTACCGGGAGAGCCGTTAGAGGAGCTTCTCTCCTTCTGCGTTGCCATGTCTTGTGATGTTGTGGGTGTCTTGATTGTAGTTGAATTTGTCCTGATTGCTCTCATACCATGTTGGGCTGAGAAAAGCCCTTAGGATCTTTGCAGGACTAAATTCTGAGTAGGACAATGTAATAGCGGAAGCGTTAAATAAAGACTTGTGAACCACCTTGCGCTAGTATGTGAGGGCAAAGTGTCAGAATCCCAACCACTAGACCATTGGGATAAAAGGGCTTGTTAAGTAGCGGGTCAGTGCGCCCATAACCCCCCAGGACAACGAGCCTGTAACCCCTCCCTAGGATCAATCGGGGATCACCAGTGGACCTCTGACACCCCCCCGCACTGGGATGCCCGAAGTGCACACACTGGGATTCGAACCCGAGACCTTCGCTCTGATACCATGTCGGAATCCCAACCACTAGACCATTGGGATAAAAGGGCTTGTTAAGTAGCGGGTCAGTGCGCCCATAACCCCCCAGGACAACGAGCCTGTAACCCCTCCCTAGGATCAATCGGGGATCACCAGTGGACCTCTGACACAAAGTAGATTGATAATAGCAAAGAGATACAAGTTTTTTATAAGAATACAGGGGAATATGAAGGGTTATAACTAATAACCGTTTTACCATTGCTGTTGCGGTTCGATACAGTGGCGACTCGGGCAACTGCTCAATAGCGAGTCAGTTGTTTGTCCTTGCTGTCGCGCTGTACTTGTCAGGTCAAAGGTCGCTGACCTTTGACTTTCGCGTAACCTCCAGCAGTTGTTCAACCTCCGAGGGTTGACTCGCTGATGCTTCGATATGTTCTGCTTCGCTTCTGACTTGGTGTTTCGACACGATAGAGGCGCTTAAATCAATTGTTTCCAACATCTGGTTGGTGTATGTATGCCCTTGGTTTTTCATGTGACAGAGTCCGTGTCCGACTGGCCTTTCTGATTTCATTCTGTACACGTGAATGTACAATCAAGAAATCGTTTTCAGCTCACTGGACATTACAGAAAGCAATCCAGTTCTTCTACAGCTACTGTATGTACATGTTGGGGAAAAGGTGGAAGATCAGACTCGACTCCAAGTGCTGGCCATGTCGGTGAGCTTCTCGGGGGCCTCGGGGTCGCAGCGCTGGTAGAAGAAGATGCTCATGGGGCGCAGCGAGTACAGGGCGGCAGAGCGGGAGAAGCCCGACTCGGGCAGCACGAACGAGTGGCAGGTGGAGAGCAGCAGCCACTCCGCCACCATCTCCCGGAAGTCCATCACCGCCGCGCTCTTCCTCTCCGCCTCATCAGCCCCATCGCCTTCTTCCCCTCTGTGCACGGAGCCCGTTAGTTTGCCGGCAGCAGTGAGGTTGGCCAGCACGGCCTCGTGGATGCGTGTGTGGTTCACCTGTGCCACATCCTCCCCGTGCGCCGTCGCCTCACGCAGCGCTGCCTCCTCGTAGTCGTGCAGCAGCACGGCATCGGAGGCGTTGCCTGCAAAGTGGTTGAACCCGCGCTCCCTCAGCAAGATGTCGCCCAGCTTCTCCGAGTGCCGTGGCACAAACCCCGTGAACAACACCTGATGCCAGCACATGCACAGGGACAACCAGGGGAAAGGACCAAGGAAAAGGTTATGTGAACAGCACAAAGCTAACTCAAAGCAAGCTAATCCCACGAAAAATTACTCCCCTCCATTGCTCGACGATTTGAAACGCACGCCCTGATATTTATCCCTGATGCAACCACTCCCAGCTTGCCGGCCACCTGTCACCTCACTGTACGCCCAGCTACATTTTCTCGACCTATCCAGGGGGTGCGTTTGAGGAGCATCTTTGTTCTGCAAGTAGTGCTTGTATGTATTGTGGATGCGCATGCACGTGTCTGTGAATGTGCAGGTGTGTATGCGTGTGCACCTTATCCGGCAGCTGCTGCTTGAGCGTGTCCTTGAGCTGCCCCGAGTTTGTGATAAGCACCCACCGCACCCTCAGCGGTGGTGGAAACCACCATGCCTCCACTGACTGGGGAAGACAATGGGGAGAGGGGAGGAGGAGAAGATTGCAGAACGCACAGCATGTGTGGCGATGGAATACAGGCGATAGGCGAGGCATGAGGAATCTTGGTGACAAGAGCAGTTATGTATGTCAAGTGAAGCAGGCAACAGAAGAAAGCGCATGGTTTGGCCAGGGAAAACAAAGGAAGCGTGGATACGAAAATCCTTGTGAATCACTGGTTACCAGCTCAGGCATCCACCTGTTGGCTCACCTGAGCACACCCTATGATTGGAGCTGCCTTTTCCAGAAGCTCCTGAAGCTCCGTGGAATTGTACTCCTTGGGCCTAAGCTTCCTCTCACCTGCGATTCACCCATCACAGCCACATGGAACCACAATGGACACAAAGCGATGTCTCTGCAAAAGCAAGACCATGGCAACACGCCCTCCCTTCCCACACCAAACGCAGACCCCCATTGAACTCCAGTCCATCCAAACTGATGCTTTCGATGCCGTAAATCTATGACGGGGTTCAACAAAAGCTAGAGGGGGATGAGAATCCATAGGAATCCATCAAAGACTGCAACAATAGCAGAAATTTACTGCATTTTCACCTCACTTCGCCAGCGCTTCCCTTGCCAACGTGACGTCGCACCTTGCCATGCTGTTTCATCTTGAATCCTGACGTGGACCCCAATGCTGACGGTGTAGGGTGCATGCGTCTGGCCCCACAGCGAGGCAAGAAGCTCCGTTACTTCAGGCTTGGGCCTGACAGCGAGCGCCATGGGGTCGTGGCAGGGAGAAAGGGTGGATGGAGGTGATGGTGACGTTGCATGGGGAGCTGGCAGGTGGAGATGTGGGTGATGGTGTTGGGCCATGGGAGGCACAGTGCATGATGGTGCATCACCAATTAAGCGAAAGAGGGAGCGGAGATAAGGTAGCGAGAAAGAGAGAGAGAGAAAGCGAGAGAGGGGGAGAGTACAGCACGTACTTGAGCAGCAAGCGCAGGATGCAACCCACGGAGTAGGGCACGCGGAGCCCTGTGGCGCGCATCCACTCGCCCCACGGCCCTTGCTCCTCCGTGAGCAGCTCCGTGAGCTCGCCGCGGTTCCACGAGAGGCGCATGTTGACGGCGTCGTGGAAGGGGTGGAAGAAGAAGGCGAGGTCGAAGAGGAACAGGTTGCGCAAGTCCATCATCGGCACCTCGTCCGCCGCCTGCAGCTTCTCCCACGCCGCCACCCGCGCCACGGCTCTGTCCATGGCGATCTCGCGCGCGGGCTCCATGGGCACGTCGTCGGACGGCGTCCAGTCCACGAGGTTGGGCTCGAACGCGAACGGGATGCACGGATGGCGGATGATGAGCGCGCGCCGCATGATCAGCGCCACGGCGAACGTGGACGCGAGGCCCAGCAGGGAGTCCCCTAGCCCTCCGCAGTTGTCGAACCATTCGTAGGTGATGAACCGAAGAGGCGGAGACGACGATGCGTTGCTGCTGCCCGCATTCACGCTGCTGTCGGCCCTGCTTGCTGCGTTTCTGTTCGCTGCCCTGATTTGATCGTGAATCTGAATGTACTCGTTATGCCATGACCCGCAAAGCCCATCAGGATAACCAAAGTCCAGAAACGACGTCAATTCCGAGGTGAAGGATGGCTTCATGCTGCTATTAGCGCTATCGCTTTCCGTGCTGATGGAGCCAGTTGCGCTGGAGGAAATAAGGAGCGAGACGACGAGGGGTATACAGAATGCTCGCCAAACTGATTTGCAGTGCTCCGCGCTCAGATCCCTCATTTTCTGCAGATACAAATTGGTGAGGCGGGCAACACTGACGGAAAATATCGCAGTGGTTGATACGATAAGTGGGTGATGCATTCCTCCACCCCATCTCTGCTGTGCACCCTGCCCCCCACCACGGGGTGCTTGCTGCCTCCATCCGCCTCCAACCCAGCCCAATCTAATTCGAATACATCCTCGCGGGCTTGGGGCAAATTGGTCCTTCGTGTCAGACCAGAGTGGAGAGTCTACTTGAAAACTGGGTGATAGTGAGTACTGGAGGGCTGGAAACTTGGCTGGAAAGGCTCAACAGAGCTGATCTAATTTGGCTGGATGAGGGAAAAGGCTTCACTATGGTCAAGATTATACAAGCCCACTAAAGCACAACTCTTTAAGCATCACAAAACAAAGGCAGATAGGTAGCTCAAAACTAGGCTACTAGACAAAGCAACTCCCTGGGGAACTTCGGTACAATTCTGCTTCCATGGACCTTGAGTGACTTTGAGAGCCACATGAGGTGCATGAATAAAAAGGCTCTGGAATTCTCTGATATAGCTGATTCTGGATTGTAGAAACCTGTAGAAAGCGTTAACACTTCGGCTGAAAGTGATTCCGAACTGTAAAGGGACTTCGGCTGAAATCTGACTGGTTGCGGAAGTAAATATTTCGCGAAGCCTTTACTCCATCACTGACATTCCCCCTTGCTGCTCCTTGTGTGCAAAGGGCTGGGGCGGGAGAAACTCGCTTCTCCAACACTCCCCCTCGCACCAGACCCGAAGCACACATATACCCATGCTTATGCTCCTCTCACATCTCCTTATCATACACTCCATGCTGCTGCCCATGTCTCTTCTCCTCATACTCCTCATTCTCCTCAAACTGCTGCACTGCTTCATGAAGTGTCATGAGGCCTGCTCTTGCCTTGCACATGCTGAATGCATCATGTGGAAGAACCTTGGTCATGAAATCTACCGCTTGATCGAACGAACGACAAAAGTTGACGGCAAGAACTCCCTTTTCTAGCTGCTCACGGATAAAATGGTACGGCACCTCGATGTATTTTGTATGGCCATGATGAACCGGGTTCTTGGAAAGAACGATGGCTGAAGTGTTGTCCACGTAGAGCGGAGTTGGTTGAGTTTGCGGCTGCCTCAAGTCCTCCAAGAGTCCACGTAAACAGATTGCCTCCCTTGCTCCTTCGGTCATTGCCATATACTCAGCTTCGGTTGTAGAAAGCGCCACACAACTTTGCTTGCGTGATTGCCAAGAAACAGCGGCACCGCACATGAGGAAGATGTAGCCGTCGGTGGACTTCCGTGTGCTCAATTCTCCCGCCCAATCTGCATCGGTAAAGCCTTGGAGGGAGCTTGCATGTGGGCTGGCTTGGAAGAGAAGACCAAGATTAGAAGTACCTTTGAGATACCGAAGAGCTCGCTTGGCCGCATGCATATGGATGGGTGATGGGGCACTCATGTGTTGAGCTAGCTTGGATACCGTGAAGGCTAAGTCTGGCCTTGTGCATAGGGCTGCATACATGAGACACCCAACCTGACTTTGGTAGAGAGCTAGGTCTTGTGGGGATACCTTGGCTGAATTTTCACCATGATGCTCACTCTCCTCAAGACACAACTCTTCAATACCCGTGATGTCAAGGCTTGACTCTCTCTCTTCGTAGGGCTGATGTGAAGACAAAGGGACAAAGTTGGAAGGAAGCGGGGTAGGTGATGGCTTGCTATCATCAAGACCAAACCTCTCAAGGACCTTTTGGATGTACCTTTGCTGGAATAGGAAGATGGACCTTGACTTATGATCTCTCACAATGTTCATACCAAGATCGGTCATTGTGAATACACTCATGAGAATACCTTTCACCTTGTTGAGGAGATCAAGAGAACCTGAGACCAGGAGGAGGTCATCGACATATACCAAGAGCCAAATGTACTCCCCCTCACTCGTGTGCATGAAGTACAAAGCGTTGTCTCTCATTGACCTTGTGAAACCGTGCTTGAAGAGTACCTTTTCAAGAGCATGATACCATACCCGTGGGGACGGTTTGAGACCATAAAGTGACTTTACCAAGCGACAAACTCGACCCGTACCATCATCATAACCGTCGGGTTGTGCCATGTATACCTCTTCTTCCAAGAGACCGTAGAGAATTGCGTTCTTGACATCCATTTGATGGATATGGAGACCAAGATATACGGCTATGGCGAGGAGGAGTCGTACAGTGGTGTACTTTGCTACCGCGACAAAGGTTTCGGTGAAGTCACGACCTGGGATTTGGGAATAACATTTTGCCACTAACCTTGCCTTGTACCTATCAAGGCTACCATCACCTTTTACCTTAATCTTGTACACCCATTTGACATCGATTACCTTCTTCCCTGGAGGTGGCTCAACAAGACGCCATGTACCTCTCTTCACGAGACTCTCAATCTCATCTTCCTCGGCCTTCAACCAATGCTCTCTCTCGGGACTTGCCACTGCCTCACGACGACTCAATGGCTCTCGTGGAAGGTGTGACACCGCCATGCATATTGCTTCTACCTTCTTGTGAATGCAATTCTCGCTCTCCTCACATGTGCACCTTGATGACATGTCAACCATGAATGTGAAGGGCATTTTTACCTTGCGGACTCGTTTACCTTTACCATATTCCTCACTTGGCTTAGACACATTAGTAGTAGGGTTCGGTCTCACAATGTTGGATGTGTTGATACGGTCATTTGCGGCTGAGACAACGGCTGCGACGGCGGCACGGCTGCATGATCTTCTCCCGGCGTGGAACTTTCTCGATTATCGGTGTCGACTTGAGGAATAGGTGTGGTGACTCGTGGCGGTGAAGCTGAAACGTTCGTCGGCATAGTTGGTTGTGAAGATGCTCTTGGTGTGGATCTTGAGACTAGAAGCTTAAGAATTGATGATGACGCTGCATTTTTGAGAGGTGGTGATGAATGGGGCTGATTGGTGTTGTTTCTCGGTGTAGAAGATGGTGGTAACTGATGACGGTCGATTCCGGGACGTGGGGGTGAAGAGAAAGGTCTTGGGTGAAGAAGTGGGCTATTGGAGCTGGTGTTGGTGGTGACTCGCTGAAGTGATCCTCGTGCTATGAGCTGGCTTGACGTTGGAACCTGAAGTGATGAACGTGTGGTATGAGAACGAGGTGTTGCGGTGACGGTTGGCTTGTTGCTAGGAAGAATCGTAGATGGTGTTGATGTAGGTACTTGAGGTCTTGTAGCTGTCGGTTGCTGCTGCATTGAATGATGGTGAGCTTCTGTAGTTGCCTCTGGGGTGACGCCTGGTGATGGGTTTGATGGCGTAGTGGTGGCCTGATCCGGTTGACGTTGAACTTGCAAGGTTGGTGCTGAAGTAGCTGGCTGGTTTGTGACAGCTGGCTGCTGCTCCTTTGGCGGTGATGGAACGGTGACTTCCTGGGTTGGATGGTCTTCATTTGATGGTTGAACTTCATCTCCACTTGGTTGAGTAGCTGCTGGTGGCACTGGTGTGGCACGGCTGGTCTCGTTGACGACGGCTTGCGGGAGATCGATGATGGGTTCGCTATGGTCAGAATCGGTGTCATCTTCTTCCTCCTCTTGTGTTGTTTCCTCAGGTGCTCTTGCTGGTTCCTGTTGGATAGGGGGTGGTAGAGAGGAGGAAGAGGAAAACTTGTGCCAATCTGCAAGGGACATGTCTTCATAGAAGACAACATCCCTTGAAACCACTTCTTGCTTGGTGACGGGATCCCAAAGGACCCATCCCTTGCTCTCGTTGCTCATGCCGATGAAGAGGCCCCAATGAGCTTTGCCTTCCAGCTTGAGTCTCTTTGCATCTGGAACACGGCATTGGGCCATGGAACCGAAAACACGGAACATAGACAGATCTGGTTTAACTCCAAACCAAGCCTCATATGGCGTTACACCATCCGGTAGGGGCGTTGTGGGTCTCCTGTTGCGAACATAAATTGCCATAGTGATTGCCTCACCCCACCAGAGCTTTTCAAGGCCTTTAAACTGAAGAAAAGTGGTAGCTATAGCTTGAATAGTGCAATGAAACCTCTCTGCCACTCTGTTTTGCTGAGGACTATAGGGACAAGTGAAGTGTTGTTTGATGCCCAATGCCAACAACTCCCCCTGAAATGCTTTCCCCATCTACTCACCTCCTCGGTCCGACCTCAAGGTGAGTAACTTCTTCCCTGACTCTCTCTCAAAAAGTGCTAGCCATTGCATGAAACACTTGTGAACTTCATCCTTGGTGTTGATGAAAAAGGACCACGAGAAACGACTCTTGTCATCAATGAAAGACACCAAATATCTCTTACCGTTTCGAGTAGGGTCTCGCATGGGGCCGAATACATCAGTGTGGACCAACTCTAGGAGGTCCCTTGACTGAGACTTAGAATGGAAAAATGGCTTCCTAGCTAGCTTTCCTTCGACACAAGATGGACATGAAACGGAAGAAAGGGACTTGACTGCACTTTCACTCAACCTCAATCCTTCCACACTCTTGTGATTTACCAACTCTTTTAATGCTTGAAATTCCCAATTGCCCCAATCGTGCATGCCATATCTCAGTTTGGGAGATACTCCCTTTGTTGTTGACTTGATCGGTCGAAACAGCGGGAAGCGAGACAACGTCGTTCTTCGTGTTGCTAGAACCGCGCTTAATCTCCAATTTCATCTTGTAGAGCCGCCTGGTACGCTCGCCGTCAGCCACCAAATTCCCTGCACTGTCCCATACTTTGGCTTTCCCCCCTTGCAAGAGTATACAGGCACCTTTCTGTTCGAGTTGTCCAGCTGAGAGCAAGTTTGCTCCCAAATTAGGAACAAACAAAGCTTTATTGACACAAAATGACTTACCATCATTTTCGAACTCAAGCTTGCCGA